AAAAGGTGGATTAGGAATTTTACAAGTTTGTCATTGCATGGGGCCTGTTTGCAGAGTTTGGGTATTCCCTGCAGGGACTGAAAGCAGTCTGCCTCTCCTGTTCTGCTCACGACGTCACTGGGGTGGAATGGACCAGATGTTTCATGTTTTGTCAATTTCAAAAGAGTATCAGATGCAAATTTTAAAGCCACTTCACAACAAAATAGTGAAACATACCAGTGAGTATCTGTTTTGTAAGTGTAAGCTAGTATCATGCTCCCCTTAATTGTGGGGATGTAAACACCTGGGTTTTCTGTTCCCTGCACATGGAATTTTGATGCAACAACTTCAGAAGTCGTGGCTAGGGAGAGAGAAAGACATTCAGTAACCTTGAGCAGAGGCAGAGAATGACAAAAAAAGAAAGTTTTAAACCAAGCTGTGTTATCTACTTGTTTTATCATTTGTTATATTGGTAAAAGGTTAAATTATCTGACCAACCTAATTGCCTTTCATAGTAAAATGACTGGATATGTTGACAAGGGGAGAGCATTGGCTGTCATTTACTTCAACTTTAGCAAGGCTTTTGACACTGTCCTTTGCAATATTTTGTATCAAAGCTAGAATGGCTAGATACTGAAATGGTTCCAAACCTGCTTGAATGGTTGGGCTGAGAAGGTGGTGGTTGATAGGTCATACTCTGCTTTGAGGCTGGCACCAAGCAGGGTGTTACAGGCATCTAGCCTGGGACCTGTCCTGCTTAACATTTTTTTCAGATATAAGGATAACTTCTTCATGCAGAACAGTCAGGTGGTGGGACAGGTTGCCTGAAGAGGCTATGCAGTCTCCATCCTTGGGGACTCTCAAAGCCCAACTGAATAAAGCCCTTGGCAGCCTGGTCTGAGCTCAGGGCTGATGTTGCATAGGAGGTTGGACGAGTGACCTTCAGAGATCTTCCAACCCAAGATATTCTATATGTTTTTTTTACCTCTGTATAGCTATGTATGTCTATACATATATATAAAATACTCAGAATACACAGATATATGTGTGTAAATTAGTTCCAGTTGTTTTGCAATACTCTTGGATTCTAAAAAAAACCCCAAATCTATCTCTGTTGCTCAGACCTTCAAGTTGAAGGGCCAGAAATACATTAATTATGTTTCAATTGATATATTTAATTATAGTTGGTATTTCTGAGCCATTTACATGAGAGAGCTAGCCTGGTGGTAAGTGGCATTTAGATAATGAAGTGTTGCATCCCTTTACAAGACAGCATAATTCTGTTCTAATATATTAATAGTTGGTTTTAGCCTATACTGTGTTTCTGGTTCTTCATTGTTCCTTTCTAACACCTTTGGAATCTGCTGGATAATTTTAATCGAATTTGAAGGGCAGGCTGATGTCTCAGAAATAAATAAGGCACTGGGTGGAGTGACCAATTTAGTCTCTCTGTTGAGGGAATGACAGGCACAGCTCAGCAATTACCTGACTTTTCATTACATCACTTTTTTTGGCTTTATGCAAGTAACAGTGTCCTGTTTTACTCCATGGTCATAAAGACTGTACCAGGACAGCTGAGTTATTGGGGTATGAAGATGTGTCTAGAGCCAGGGAAGAACAGGGAACTTAGACCTGCAGGAAGCTAGGCTCCTGATGTTCTGCAGCTCCCTTTCTGAGGAAAGGCTTGTCAGTGGTTTTCCAAGTGCTGTGGAGGATACTGTGATCCATTTCACATGATCCATGGACAACATTGTGTGATTTCACTAACATGACAAGATACTAGAGCTGATTTCTAGTTCAGGGCTCATGCTGTGATGTCCTGATTTGAGTATCTGAATGCTGATAATTTGAAGTCTGAATTTCTGTCATATAAAGGAAGACCCATCTGAAAATATGGACCTCTTGGCCCATAGCAAGAGTCATTATGGAAAAAGAACTACAGCTTCTGTCTTGATGAAACTGAATTAATTACCCCCAAACCTCTGAAGAGCTTACACGGTGAGACAACTGTAACAAGACCTTATCCTGAAGCCTTTTCTCTCTCTTTGGTGGCCAGCTGGGGTCAGCCTGTGTCCAGCTGAACACCTCATTTCCCCACTTCAGGACGCAGCTTCACTTGCTTCTCCAGAATAACAGCTTTCATCACTTCCCTTACCCATTTCATCGTGTGTTCGTGGTAAGAGCAGGAGCACACATGCTGTTTCTGGCACAGAGAAGGAGCTAACCAGTTGGGGGGTGGGGGCAGCTTCTTTTGGGGACAGTGCTGCCTTAGGATGCCTGTGAAACTGCCGCCGCAGGCGTTCTTGGGCTTTCTCTTTCACCATCTGAAGGGATGCTATCCACACATTTTGTTAAAGCTTCTGGAAAGCTTAGTCTGTTTTGTGGGAAATGTGTTAGGTACCTTAGATATTTATGTAATTAGCCTAATGAAGTGGGTTTATTTATTGTTTTCTGAGGAAATGCTCAGTATTTTTGGATTCGTGTTCTTCAAAGAGAGGAGATGAATTTCCTGTTAAGAAATTGAATATGATTTTTTCAAATGTCTTCAGAGAAAAAAGTAAACTTGAAGAGTGATTACAGAATATTGGCTAATTAGCTGTAGTGTAACTGCTTTAATTACTTTTATCCCTGAAGCCACATGACTGTGCAGATGACTAGCAGATGACTTATTTTAAAAAAAAAAAGAAGACGTGTTCACACTGCAAGGTTAATGAGCCTAATTAAATATAGTTTTTCTTAGCCAGACACTAAATCATAAAGCTTAGGGGAGTGAGGGAGGGGGAGAATCCAAAGGCAGGCAGTTCTGTTTCAAATAATGGTTTTATTCTGATTTTTATTGCAAAAAAAAAGAAAAAACTGGAATTGTGAGTGATTTTTCTGAATAGAGACACATCTAAAGATTTGGTGAGACCTCGCATGGCAAACTTTGAAAGTCTGTTTAGAGACGATTACGCTGAGACATATTTGTTTTCACTTGCCCATTGCTTTAATTAATGTAGAAATGGGCTTGAATAAAAGGTCTGTGTTAGATGGAAGTCTCCATCTGCTGCTGCATATTACCAGAACCTTTGTCCTTCCCTGCCGTGCAGTTTTTATTACACCGCTTTATTTCCTGTAGTAAGCTGCATCATGTCTCCCATTAAGCTGTTCAGAAAGGATGGAGCTCGAATTTTTTGGTGACATTTTTTCTAAAGGTTTCTGCCTGTGCTGTGCACAGTGGTTTGAGATCCCCATTCAGTAAAATCCTGGGAAGAACCAAATTCTGTGGTCTTTCAAGGAAACTTGTGTCTCAGGCACAAAAATTGGATATTAGACCTTGCTGAGCTGCCATGTGTCAGCTACCTTGGTGAGCAGCCTTGAGTTACTGAAATCAGAAGGTAAAATGTGTCACAGAGTGAGAAGGGCACAAACCAAAGAATTTAATCATGTTTGCAAAGGACATACAATCAGCTATTGCTGATCAACTGATACATGGTAACTTTCACAGGTGACTCTGGGCAAAGCAAAGGTGGTAGTTTATTTCACTTATTTATTTCACTCTTCTTCTACATATTTTCTCCCATTGATTATGAATATACTTTTTTTTTATTTCTCCAAATGGCATTATTTCCTTTAAGCTAATCTCTAGTGTGCAGTGCTTTGTCCTGAAAAGATTCCTCATACCTCCTGAGTAGTGATGCTCAAAAGTCAGGTGGGAGCAGATACAACTGCTATATGTGTGTTTCTGCCCAATCCAGCACAAATGAATCAAACTGAATCCTCTATAAATAATAACTAATGAAGACTTAACCTACTCATGGGGGAAATTTCTGTTATTTCACTTAAACTTTCATCTCAAACTTGCATTTTCCATATCTAACAGACTGGATACTGTCTTCATATTCTTCCAAACTCTTCTATAGAAGGCTGTAGTTTTTAGAAATTAATTATTTAGTTGGATTTCTTGGTTCCCTTTAATAATGTAGAAAGAATAGATTTGAGTAGACTAACTGAAAAGATCCTTGTTAGAGAGCAGGAAGTTGAGTTCCTCGTCTAAACTGCTAGCTTTGATTTTTATCACATTTTCCAAAGGGGTTGAAAGGTCACTGTGCACCCAGTAGGGTTCAAAAGCTACGCTAATAAATTGGATTATGACTAAATGATACTACCTCAGCACTTGGCACATAGTAGAAGAATCGTAACACGGAGTTAGTTCCCCTTCCCCTTCCCCTTTTCCCCCACCAAGGACTGTGCCAAATATTTCCTACAGTGCCCTGTACCCTCACTCTCCTTTATCAGTCAGTTATCCTTCATTAACCAATGTCCAATATTTGGTTCTTCTGCTTGTAGACAGTTCCATTATTTCAGTAAATGCTGAGTATCTGCTGCTTTTTGGGCCTGGTTATTGTTTGTGGATACTGAGACTGGGCAGAATTGTGAGCCAGGCTCTCTGCAATGGGCATCTGAAGGAATCCAGTGTTGAAGATGTTGCCCTGAGTCCTCCCAGGTGCTTGGCATGGTGAGGACTTCTCGGATAGCTCCTATGTCACCCAGGAATTCAGTGCTTTTGGAGACCTGCAGTTAGTCAGGCCCTAGTGGCAAATTCAGTAAAATCAGCTCTAGACAATGGCAACCTAAATGTTCTGTTCTGCATGAGTTTGTCCAGAGGTTTTGTTGATGATGTGGGGTACAGTTCCTGTGGGGTAAACGAAGGTTCTCACACACAAAAAAGGCTGTTGTATCCTAGCACCCAGCAGACGAGCAAAGGGCTAAATAAATGTTACCATATTCTGGAATCACAGAGTAGATCAGCAAGCAGTGGCAGAAGGCTGTTTTGTGGGTAGGCTTTTTCGTGCTCCATGTATAATAAACTTCATAGTCCAGGGCTGGCAACGTAGTGTCTCTCTCTCATCAGCAGTCAGTTAATTCAGTTGTAATGGCAAACAAAACATGCTGTGTGAACCATTCAGTTCACAGATCATACCCTAACAGAAGTGAATGCTATTTTGGCCTGGTGATAAGTACACAACCCTTAAGAGGACATGAAAGCACAACATGCTTTTCAAAGCTTCCAAACCAAGCTCCAACTTTCTTCCAAAGTCCCATTCCATGTATTAAAACAACACAGAAATAGATGAGGCTTTTTTTTTTTGCTTTTCTCCCCCCAGAACTTGACTGGCTCTCTAGAGTGTATGTGAATCGACCTGCAGTTGTGCGGCATGCAGAGCAAATTAAAACGTGGAGAACTGTGAAAGGTAATTGGCAAGTAAGTACTGCTCTTATGCATTCTGTTCCTGTATTTTTCAAGCAGTCCCTCTCCCTCTCCAGGCTGCAATATTGAATTTTTTTCGAGATACATGTAAACTTAAAAGATGTGCTTGTCCATGTCTTATTTTAATAATTTGTATTTGATGATGGTGGGATGGAATAAGGTGACGCATTTATCCAAACAAGTTAAAAACCTTATAACTCATGAGTGGCAAAACCGCAAATGGATTTAAGTCATCTTTATTCATGAGTGGATTAAATTGTGTATTACTATCCTGCCACATTTATTCTGTTTCCCAGACAGACTTCTCTGCATGCTGCCTTCTTATTTTTTAATTTTAAAGTTGTAAGATATGATCATGGTGCCTGTCAAGTTTGACCTACCTGGATGATTTTTCTTTACTTAAACATTCCCAATGTGTGTGATTTCATTGCTTAACTAGTTTTAACCTAAAACTCAAAAATCCTGCCTGGCTATGGCTTTCAGGGAGGGGAAGGAGCCCACTAATGTTTGGGGAACTGACTTTTCAACTACTGAGATGGGGTAAATGGTTGGTTATTGTCCATCTTGCTATAAAATGGGTTCACATAAACCATAGCTAAAGCCAGTGGTGCAAATGAACTTTTTTTCAGGGCTGACTGTATTCACTGAACACACATTTAGAAGGTCTTAGCTGTTACCCTCAACCTCTGCTGTTTACTGCCCTTCTGGTGCTTTAGCCTTGTCACTTCTGGGTTTTTTGCACCTATTAATGACTGATTTTTTTTTTTTTTTTACATTCCTGATTCACACAAAAGAAAGTGGAAACATCTGAAGTCTGGACCCTCAGTTGAAAGAAGCCTTGGTTCTTAGCCTGCATTGATTCCATCTTTCCATCTCACACCAGGATAAGCATGCAGACATGCAAGTGTGCAAACTGCTGATGTGTATGCTCCCTGGGCACTGTCGGTTGCAAACCTTTGCTCCTCTTGAAGCATGTGTATAATTTCTTGTGCATACAAACCTTAAAGATGCAGACATACTTTACAGCATATTAGAACTGTGAGGTTCCTGGCATAGGTGGGTTTCCTCTTTGTTTTACAGAGCTATATGTCAAACATGATGCTTTTTTTTTCCAGATAAAATTCTGATTCTTACAGAGACCCGTTTGGTAGTTAGCTTTTGCCCCCCAAATTAGAATTTGATCCTTTGGTTCTGAGAGGGCAGACTTTTGATTCCACATCCTTTCTGTATCATTAGGACATGAATAAATATCTGCCAACCCTGTCTATCACGAGCCATTACTTGTATATCCTCCATGTTACATCCTGTACGTTTCCTCATCATTAGAGGGAGAGCCAGGCTTCTGATTCCTGCATCTTCTGAGGCAGTTTGGCTTTGGAAGTGTAAATGGAACTACTCTACTCCTTGCTTTGCTCTCTTTGTAGGCTGCTTGGCTGCTGAAAGCTGTCACCTGCATAGACCTCACCACGCTTTCGGGCGATGACACTCCTTCCAATGTTCAAAGACTGTGTTTTAAAGCAAAGCATCCTATCAGAGAGGATCTGCTCAAAGTTTTGAACATGCATGATAAAGGTATGGTAGCTTTTGGTGTGCGTATTTTGTAGAGAAAGTGTCTACATTTCCTCATTAATTTTTGCAGTTTTCAGAAAGGGCATTGGTCCACCGATTGAAGTCATGTGGTGTAGAACCAAAGGGGAATCGGGCCCCTGGTTTAAGCCATATACATTAAATATCAAAGATGAGTATTTTTCTAAAACTTGGATTTATAGACTCTTCAGACAGTCGAGGTATTAAATATGAGGTCAATTATCTGAGACTTTGAGAGAATAGCATTTAAACTAGAAATAGAGCAGGACTGCATTAACATAAAGACTGCTCAGTTGCTGCTGGGCTCAGTCTGGCTCAACAAGTAAGAACAGAGCTTGGCAGTGCAGTTTCTCGTGCAGTAATTTGCTGATTAAGCATGTCTTTAACTGTATGTGTTGGCATTAAACTGTCAATCCGTGGATAAAACTCTTGGAGTTTTAACTCCTGCTAATGCAGACTTGCTCTCAGGGTCAGGTGAGGGAGAATTACCTGAACCATTTGAGCATTATAACAGACATCGCTGGTATAGGTGCTAGAGATCTTTGTGAGAATGCAGAAATGGGAGGTGAGAACAATGCACATGTGCTCATAATATGGATTGCACTTGGGAAGGTGAAAATATATGTTTGGAAAAGTGAACTGTGGCTTTTGCAGGCATTACTGTGGGAGCAGTTTGTGTATATCCTGCAAGAGTCACCGATGCTGTTAATGCCCTAAAGGCTGCTGGTTGCAACATACCAGTAGCATCAGGTAAGCTTTATTCAAAAATATCCAAATAAAGATTTAGTTGTTATAAAATATGTAGAAAAATGCAGAAGTTTTGTTTCAGGGAGTAAGGTGAAAAAGTCACAGGTGGAAGGAAGGGAATGGAGGGGAGGATTTTCTTCTGGTATAATCTTTTGGTTTTTTTCAAATTCAAGCTTATGAGGAATGCCAAATCTATTTTGCAGGAAGCTTTTCAAAGAGGTATTTAAAATATGTTAGTGTTTTTCTCACCTGAATAGAAGAAATGGAGATAGTGTCCTGGACAACTGTCAGTATACACTAAGTAGATGATGATGATGATAATAATGAGAGTTTTCCCTATCAGTTGTTTGGATTTTAAGTGTAATCCTATGTCAAGGTTTAACCCCAACTAGCAGCTAAGCATCGTATAGCCACTCACTTAAACTCAGAAGATGAGGGGAAAGAGAATTAGACGGGTAAAAGTGGTAAAATTTGTGGGTTTGGATAAGAACAGTGTAATAATTTTAGAGTTATTATTATTATTACTACTACAATAGTAATCATGTGATCTAATGTAAAGGAAAATTGAAAAAAAAAAAGAGAGAGCAAGAAACCCCAAGAGAGACAAATTGATGCAAATGAAAAATGACTGCCCACCACAGACTGAACTCTGCCCCACCAGTCCCTGGGCAGTGACCCTGGCCAGCTTTGCCCCTAGTGATGCCACGTGGTATGAATATCCCTTTGCTCAGCTGGGGACAGCAGTGCACCCCCAGCCCACTCACTCGTGGGGTGGGGTGAGAGCCAGAAAAGACCTTGGGTCTGTGCAATCTCTGCTCGGCAATAACCAAAACATCTCTGTAGTACCAACACTGTTTCCAGCACAACCCCAAAACACAGCCCCACACGAGGTACTGTGAGGATAACTATCCCAGCCCAGACCAGCACATCCTACAAGCTGAATTCAGTGCAGCTCTGTGCAGAGCCAAGGGTTGTTGCCTGCTGAGCAGCTCACAGGATCAGGACTTGTACATACAAATCTAATAGTGGCAGCACTTCCCCAGTCACCACACAGGAGAAACAAGTCCTGAATCTACAATAAGCAAGAAGTAGAATCAAAGCATTATGCAGGTTGGAAGGGAGCTCTGAATGTCATCTGGTCCAACCTCCTGCTCATAGCAGGGGCTAACTTTGAAGTTAGATCAGGTGTTTAATTCTAAGATCCATGTTTTCTGGTTTTTGTGTTTTGTTGTTGCTGTTTCATTGTTGTGTAGGGGAAAAATACATGCTAAATGCATTTATATATCATAGAGAAAGACAGTCTCTGACAAAGCTATTATTTTTTCCATTTCCAAAGTTACCTTTGGGTTTTGCACTTGAACATCATAAACATAATCTTAGGTAGACCTAATTGAAAGCAATTTTTGCCACATTGTGATTTAGCTGTTAAACAATATTACTATGGCTTAACTTGAGATACTACTTAAAAGAATTGGAGAGAATTAAAAATGTATGTGTTTTTCATCTCTAAGTTCACTCCTTGTTTCCTCAGTTCTGCTGGAAATAATAGATACTGTGGTTTTCCATGTAGGCTGCCCTGGAAAATCTTAATGCATGTGAAATATCTTTTTACAAGATGCACTTGGTATCTTGTTGGACATTGGTTCCTGAGGGTAAAGCTAATGCTTCTTGTGGGTGAAGAGAGGGTATGATGAGGTACCTTTAGTTTTTTTTGAATCATAGTAGTAATAAAACAAAAGAATAGCTGTCAGACATTTTGGTGTATAAGAGGTATTTGCAATTTTGTGGTTAATTTATAAACCTTTAAGACATTTATAAAACATTTCTTCCTTCTACCTGCATCCCCCTTCATGCTAGTGGCTGCTGGGTTTCCATCTGGACAAACTCCTCTAGAAACCAAACTGGCTGAGATAAGACTAGCTGTGGAGTATGGTGCCAGGGAGATTGACATTGTCATTAGCAGGAGTCTGGTGCTGACTGGGCAGTGGGAAGGTAAGTACCCACACTTTGCCAAGGAACCTAAACCTCTGTGTATGCACATGTCTTTGTCTCTTCCCCAAATCTCCACATCAGTCCTTGAAGAATTTGGTCCCACCCCTTAAAGTAACTGATCTGTGGCTCTGAGCTCAATGAAAACTATTTAATTTATGACAAAGGGTTGCATTTTTTTACAAGAATGCTGTTGCAAGTCGTGTCAGTCTGGGCATGCAGAGTGACTTTGTGGTTTGAAAACTCAGGTCTATTCCCTTTGTGCCTTTAGAGGATTTTGTGTACAGCATTAAAATATAGCAAGTGAAAGCCTAATTATTTGAACAGTTTTGTTAGAAAGCCCAAGGGGCTGCTAACGTGGATGATACCTTGTTAAATATACATGTTTCAATTCTTGACAAAAATATGTGTATGTTGTTTTCTTTTTCCTGAAAGTGGAGGGTACAAATTGACTGTTCATATTATTATTGATGTTCTGGTGTCTGTAGACTACTACTAATTAGTAAGAACAATAATGCTGAAGATGGTTTTTGCTCTAATTGCCTCCTTAATGTACTGTGAATGGTTTGCCTTAAGTGCTGACAGTGCTCCTATAACTAATCTCCATGTGAAGGTAAACACATCATTGTCTTGGAATGAATTTTTCCATTTAGTTGTATAGTGTACTGCTATAATATCCAGTTTGCTTGGAAGGCTTCATAATGGACCCCTGGTACCTGAATCTGCTTCAGGAAATTCAGTCATGGTGGTAATAGATCATGTTTTCTGATTTTTGGGCTTCCTTTGAGTAGCAGTTAGAACTGACCTAAACACCCACATGTTTCTGCATCTGTGTCTCCAGGACTGGTATCCTGGTTTCCTTTTGCTGTAACGTCTTGATCTCTTTTGTAGTATTTACCATCTCCATCCTTTTGCTCTTACATCTGTGCAGTTTTACAAATGTTTGGCTTCTTGAGGATGTGTATTGTAGCAGTAGTTTCCTTCAGAGAGGCTAATTATAAGCTCAGGTGTGGCATCAGAATATGGAAACTGGGTGGTTGAGCAGTTTTAAACAAGATAGAACGATGGACCAAGCTCTGTGCCAACTGACAGCAAGATTATACACACCTTCCTGTGCTGTGTCTTTCTTAGGGTCTACACTACCAAGCAGGAACCCCCTCCAGGAGCTGTGACCTGCTGGGGACATGTCTTGGACACGAAGTGAGCTGAATCAGTGACCTGGCACTAAGGCTAGAAAGAGACCACTGAACTGGACTTGAGCAGCAACTTGCAATTATGTCTGAAGAAGTCTGTCTTTAGCAATTTCTGACATGACTGTGGTTGTCATGCTTCAGATTTCATGGTACAAACCACTGTTAAGTGCAAGTTGCATGCAGCAGGGATCAGAAATTTAGTGCATGTAAGGCCATTGCATATGCAGACTTGAGGTTGTATTGACCAGGTTTACATGAGTAGGAGAAATACAGGGCTAGAGTCAGGGAGAGAGTTTGTATCAGTGACTGAAATGAACATACATTGTTAGCTTTTTCTACACAGGAGATTAATTGGATTTTGTGGTCACAAATTATAGGGGAGGAGTACACAGACGTGGCAGTGATGGATGTGGTATAAAGCCATAAGTAAATTAGGGATGGCTTTTAATTTGGTGTGCATATTCTTTTACCCAGAGCTGAAGTCCTGACAAGGTTGAAAGCTGTCCTCATTTTGGCAATGGCTTGTATATAGGGCAGAATTCAAATTATTTCCAAGTTTTTTTCTGGAAGTTTATTCATGACTGTGAATCTGTTTCTCACACATGTTTACATGGTCTTGAAAAAAGCTACCTCAGGAACAGAATTTGCTTGCCATCCAGATTAAAAATGACTATATTTAACATTCCCATCCAAAAAATTAAAAGTGTTCTGAATTAAAAGGTGTTCTGAATATTTTGGTGAAAATTTAGTGTTCTGACTTCCTGTTCAGCTTTCAATAGATGTGATAGATTGATGGTACCTGTGTGAACATACAGGTTTTCACCTCTGTCTGATGATTAGGTATGATGCACAACAGTGCATTAAAGTAGTTTTAAGGAATTTTGAAGGGATGAAAAAGTCTTTAGGCTGAATCCCAGTATTGCATAAAACTGAGAAGTCTAGTGCCTATGTTCAAGGTGCTTCATCAGCTAGAGCTGTCTTGCAGTTGTAGCAACCTCTGCCTTGCCTGTAACACTAATACATTTTTGAGGGTATTTTCTCATGCTGCCAGTCAACTTCAGGAGTTATTGACAAAAATGTGTGTGGTAGAGTGCTTTATCTTACTGCTCCTTTTCAGCTTTTCTTCTAGCCTGTGCAGTAATTGGGGTCATCATCAGAGAGTAGTGCTGCTTTGTGATTTGTTTCAAAGGCTTGTTTGGTTATTAAATATTTTAGCGCATGTCCAATTTTATCAAGTTATTTTAAAGCAGTTCTTGAATATTGCTGGAGCTCTTTGTGGCACTCAGAATGTATTTTCTAGATCTTTATGAAGTAATTGTTAAGATCATTTAATAATGCTGAATATGAAAGCCACTTCATTGGACAGCCAAATTCCATTAGAAAATAACATTAAATAAGATCTAGTGAATTTACATACATCTCACAACCTTTCAGCTTTTAAAGCAATACCTCTTTATAGTAGTTGACTCAACTATCATCTTGTATCACTTGACAAAGTATGTATTGAGTTTAAAAGTAACAATTTAGATACTTTCTTTAGGCACAGAATGTGGAGTCTGTATGTAAGGATTGATCAAGTTGACCAACAAATTGTTGAAAGAAATTTGGTTCATTTATTTTTCTTTTTCCCCTTGATAATCAATATGTTGGAATTGCTGTACCTTTGGAAGTTGCCTGGGGTGCTGTAATGTTGCTTCTAATTCCACAGCTTTTAGCAAACACCTGAACAACTACAGTCAGTGGCTTCAGCAGTGTTGTTAATCCATCGTTTGATCAATATCAGTTGAATTTTCCTATAAGAAAAGGGAAAAAAACAGTATATTGGAAGTTTGATTGTGGATGCATCCATGAAATGCATTACTGATACCCTCATTATGAAAGCTGCTTTTCAGTTCTGTTAGCAGTTATTCAGCTGTGAGTTTAGAGGCTTTGTCAGGGATTGAGACCCTATTTGGTGCTATATATTTATGACCAACAAACACACTCCCTGCTCCAGAGACTTGGAAAAGACTCCACATACTCTTCAGTAACATTAGAGTTGGATTTACTGTTTCTAGATGTGCAAGCTGAGTTTGGGATCTCAGAGTCTAGTTGCACAATTTCTGTCTTACTTTGTCAGCAGCAGCTCAGACTCCTGAAGCCAAGCTCTGTTTTCAGTTTTGTGTGAATCACTGGAGCCTAGAGTTGCACATATGTGGCTGAGAGCAGAACTGAGAGAGTCGTGTTGTGCTGATAGCCTTGTGCTTGTCATTTTGTTAACAAACCTGCCATTAACATGCAAGACAGAAGGGACTCCAGCTCATTTTCCAGCTTCCCATCACGATTACCTTGATCTTTTGGTCTAACAGAAATGGAAACATCTTCCCTCCTTGTCTCAATGTCTACCCGTAACATCAGTCAATGTGACTGACTGGATAAAAACACCAAATAAATTGAATTAAAAATGAAGTGATTTTATCACCACATATTTTGAGAACAGCTATTTCATACAAAAGCTGTGGGGCTTTTTCCCCCCTTAATATTTTCCTTTGTAGGACATACTTATCATCCCCTTTATTTTATATTTTTAGGACTAATGTGTTAGACCAAAGTAAAAGACCATCTAGATAAACTAGTGCAGAGTATAACCAGCAGAAATTGTCAGGGATGTTTGCTTAAGAAACATTTTCTCTGATGGATTTAAGAGCTTATAAAATTCATTATAATCTACTAAATATTTACAATTTTAGGAAAACCACAAAAAAGAAAAAGACATCTTCCAACACTTCTGTTTCATAACAGTGAAATTAAAACCACAACTATGAAAGCATTTTTATTCCTACAAAATCCAATTTTTTTCTGACTTCTTTAAATGCATCCAGTAAAAGCAGATCTGAAGTTTATGAAAGCTGTAAGTTATCTTAAGTGGTGCAAAGGAGAAGAGTTCTTATGTCACATCCATTTTAACAGCCAAGTCAGTAGAGCTACTACAGGCTGGATCAGTGAGCATCTGGCTCCAAGTATGTTCTATGTCTGTTGGCGTGCTTTGGGGATTTATGTCTGGGTTTGTTGTTGTTTGGGTTTCTTTTCCCCTGCCTTAAGATTTAGACTTCTTTTAGAATGGCTAACGTTGGTCCTTTGTTCAAGATGATACACACCACTGGCCACTTGTTTTGAGAGCTTTTGATTTTCTTTTCTCTCTTTGTTGCAGTCAAAAGGAGAGTCTCTTAAAACCTCTTCATGGTGGTCATGGCTCACAGTTGAAAATATGTCTGCAGGGTTTTCTGTGATAGGGTTTTTTGACCAAAATCTTTGTGCCACTGCTGCTAACCAGAGAAGCTGTGTCTGCTGTGCCAGTTACTGCTGTTCTGCACAGGTCGCAGATATTCCCAGATTTTTAGCATGCAGCTTTGATCCTGCTACTGTTCAGCTTGATGGAACTGAGTAGTTAAGTGATGGACTTTTGGCAGCACAGGCTGTCCCACAGGAAGCCCAGGACCCCTTGAAACACTGTGTACATTTTTCAAGTGTGATTAACTCCACCCATACTTTAGACATTTGCCAAGAAGTTTCAGGATAATCCAGTTATTTGTGCCTTGATTTAAATCTGTCTGAGTACTGAAACTTCTCTTTTTATTTTGGAAAGGAGTAGGAGTTTTGGCACTTGTTCTATATCAAAGCAGTTCTGGCTTGCACTGGGTCTGGGGTGCTCTGGTTAATTCTCCCTGTCCCAGACGTAGTAGTTGCATTTCTATTTGTGCTTTCCCTGCAGGGTTGAGAATGTCCTGTAAATATCAGCTATTGGCTGCAGTAATTGGTCTCTGAATAAAGCACAGGGTTTATTACCCACACACCTGCCCCATTAAAGCATGCCCACTTTCCCAGCACCTCAGCTAACCCGATAGACACGGCTGATTGAAGATCTGGGTGGTTGCTGTCCGTGGGCTGATGTGTGCTGTCAGGCAGGGAGACTGTTCAAACGAGCTTGACGCTAATTGCATGTAAAAGTACCTTCCAACTGCAGGGAGGTGCTGTAGCTGTGGTACTAACTCCAGTGAACAACAGCTGTGAGGATATAATTTCTTTTCATGGAATCCAACCTAAATGTACAGTTTGTTGATTTTATTTTGACATTTTTGGTGGCATATCTTAAAGGTAGAGAAAACTTTTCTTCTTGTTATGAAATTAGAAGAACAAGGAAGCTGCTTTCTCTGGCTTTCCAAAAGCTTCAGGAAAGAGTCACTCCACAAAAAGAGGTTGTGTTTGGATCTAACATGAGCAGGGTTATTAAAGCACAAAAAAAAAATAGCACAGGTCCTTTGTGTTTCCTTTTTGAGGCTCGATTTGATGTAGGTTTCTGGAGCATCATCAATTGATCAATAAAACATGTTAGACTGCATGCCAGCACTGATTAATTCACACCTTTGGTACACAGTAAGAAACAAGGTGAAGCCTGGTGTCTATAAAGGGACTTGCTAAGTGCATTAGCCAGTTGTCTGCTAATGTGTGCAGTGTGTCTCCAAGAGCCACCCCAGCAATCCCAGGCCTGGTGTGGTGACAGCATCAGTCAGACATGGCAGTGCCATGGGTGGAGGGAGCTCCAGCTCAAGCCCTTCTGTGCTTCCAGGTGTCGCCTAAGGACTGAGGGAGGAAGGAAGGAATCTGCTATTGCTGAAAAAAACCAGCCTTTATAGCCTGGATTTTACAGCAAGAAAGTCTTGTTAAAAGCTGTATTTTAGCCTTCTGTCAAAGAACTTTTGGATGGTGTGTCTGAGCACAATTTGTGGAAAGGACCCTCTTGCAGAGGATCCTGTTTGCTTATTTTGCATCTTTTCTTTAAAAACCCCTCAAATTCCAGCAGTGGTGGCTGTACTCTGTAGGAGCTGCTCTTCTCCCCACCCTGGAGGACTCTTAAGCATCCCCAATGGCTAACTTCTGACAGCTCTCTTCCAATAGTGGGATTCCGATGCCTAAACACAGGCATGGAGTTCCATAGTCAAACTTCCTGAAATGGTCCTGTGGTACTAAAGAGAACAGTAGGAAACAGAAGGGAGATGTGGAGCCTCTGTAACCAGCAGCTGGAATCCCAGGGGGATCTATCATGGTATCTCAGGTGGCACTAATATTTGTGATTATACAACTTCAACGCACCTTTGGTGTCTTTTAGTCTGAACACTTTGGCAAATGTGGGTGAAAGGGGCAGAGAGAGAGACAATGTGATGTGCACAGGAAAACAGAACTGTCCCTGAGTACTGATTCAATGTACTGCCAAATTGATTGCTGGAAAAGCTGTTTTAAAATCAATCTTTACTATTGTAGCATTTTTTACTCCTGATGTATTCATGAGTATTTGGCATACTGTGCACATTTGTGGTTTTGAGAGAGCTGACATTAATAGCTATTAAGTAAAGTCTGAGACTGTGTGGCATTGTTAATTACCTCCAGTCATGTAATTTATTGAACTTACAAAACTTAGGTTCTTGAGTGCTATGACTAATTATAAGACTGGAAATTAATCCAGAAGTGGAAATTACAGCCATGCTTGAAAATGTCTCTCAGGCAACTTTGATCATTTTCACATGTTTTTATCCACAGGTCTCTACGATGAGATCCGTCAGTGCCGTGAGGCCTGTGGAGAAGCTCATATGAAAACAATCTTGGCGACAGGTGAACTGGGGTCCCTTGCTAATGTCTACAAAGCCAGTATGATAGCTATGATGGCAGGTAAATATATGTGGTTTTCTTTTTTAAGCTAAGAATGTCTTTGCTTTATTATTTATGACGCTTAAAAAATTCTAGTCGGGGAAGTTTAGTTTTGTCGCTAGAAAAAAACCTGTTCTGTAGCAATTACTGAAGTTGCAGGTGTAGTAATGAAGTGTCACTTGTTTTGTATAACCTACAAAAACTGCACGGAATGTTAAATAACACTTAAAACTGCTAAATGACAAGATTTGTAGGAGCAGGGAAGATTTGTTGTCAAACATCTGATCCTTGGTAAGTTTAGTAAAGACATATACACTGGGGGCAGATACACTTACCGAGGCAGTTGTGGTGACCTACAGATAAGATGGAGGTAAGTGGCTTATAAGTTTATTTTAAATACAAGGGGAACTTCCCTGTGAAATTCATGCTGATAGTTCTCATTTTTGGTCTGTGACCACCTTGAGGAGTGCAGTTTGTGAAACCAATTGCATGGGAAATGCAGTAAGGGAACGAACTCCAGCAGGCACTGGGATGGGCTAGTTTATAACTGGTTTTAACTGGCACACTCAGAAGGAGTGGCACTTGCTGCTGCCAATTAATTGGCACTTCAGAAGGTGTTCAGTCTTCCCTCTCTCTGAAAACTCGATTGCATCAAACCTGATGCTTAAAGTCTGTCTTTTACTCTGAACATTTCAACTAAGGAACACATTCCCCATGAGTAGGACAGAGTTTCTAGGGGCTGTGAATAGATTGTAGGTGTTTTTTGCATAGCTATAGCACCCATTTGAGCCCAGATTTACAGCAGTATCTTCTCTCTGCAGCTTTGGGTTTGTGCTGATACAACTTTTGCTAGTTTAAACCTGAATTTAGATCTGTTGTTTAATGCCATTTTTAAGATGGAAAACTGGGAATTGGCTTCTAGGCACTTGCTTCTTCCACCATGCTTTGAAGAGGGTTCTTCAAGCTTATTTCTAGAAGTGTAAAGATATATCAAGACCCACTTGGGTTAGTCTGTCTTCTAAACTTTCCCTCATTTTTGTGTTGAATTTTTTTTTCTACTGTAAGCTCTTCAGACCTGGAATTTCTTCTTATTTTAGGGGAAAAAAAAGCCACATCCGAGTGTCTTGTCAGTAATTAAGTATAATTTGACTTGCTGCTGACCTCACTGGCACCATACACAATACTATGCTTATCTGATTCAAACAGAGTGGAAAGCATTTCAGGCTTTTTACATGCTCAGCTACAATGCCAATTAGTATCGTTAGATACAGAGGATCAGTATTCTGCCAGTAAATATTGCTTTTAATTAGAAGAGGTGTAAGAAATACACATTTCCTGTCATTCAAACTGACGTACTAATTGTTATGATCACTTTTTGTAACAGTAGTGAAAAATTCAGGCTGTAAAGCGTTTTACCATTTTCAGATGTTTTGCTGGTGTAGTTTTTTTGAAATACAGCAGATGGCTCTATTGTTAATGATTTTCCTTGCCTAGGTATTCAGTTTACTTACCCATCTGAATAGGTGCAGTAATTTCCTCATGTCAGTCTCTTGCTTTTCCTTTGTGAGTCGGTGTAAAATTAAGGATGCGTTGGTGCCCTACATACACTGAGGGACAGATTTTCAGACTCCAACTTGTCAGAACTGCTGAGAAGCTCAAATTCCGTTGGAATTTTGTTTGATTCGTGTATTTGTAGCATTTTGGGGAGCAAGTGGTTTGGCACAGCAGTTTTAAATCCTAACTTTAGTATCCATTTAGTATCCTTTTTCAAATGGAGACATGATTTAAAAGAAAGGAAAACAAAGCAGGTGATCTTGCGGCTGTGGCAGGCCCTGCAACTTTTATCTGAGGATCAAAAAGAAACAGCTCTGATAAAGTTGACCCCAGTATTTAATTTTAAATGTGCAAACTAGTTACACAGTCGAGTGGATTCAACTGGAAAACTGACGTTAGAAGTTTTCACTGCCTCTGGCCAATTGCTCCTCTTCTGTGCAGCAAAATTTGCTTCTCCTTCAGCTGTGCTTCTCATGCTGCATTGTAAGCTGAGTTTTCAAAGTAATACAGCTGAGAATTACTCCAGAAAAGGATTAACTAGCTTGCTTTTTTTTTTTTGGTGGATGGTTGGCAATGTTTTATGTCTTAAATGGTCACAACAACAATATTCTGGTTTCTAGCCTTGCCTTGCACAAGATTGTGTCAGTGCGACTGAGGATGTGATGTGCAGGCCTGAAACTGTTTTCACTTCACTACGTATAATGTCAACCTATCATGTAGGGAGCCCAAAATCCTGGACTTACACATGTTTACGTTGCCCTTGCTGAGCATGCACATCTAGATCCTGGAGCACAAAGCCACTAGATGTGTTGTGATGAGTATATAAAATATATGTATTTCCCATGCATCTCATTCATCAGACATTTGTGTTGAGAGAGTAACACAATTCTGATTTATCAGTAGTTCTGTGGTTGAAAAGCTTGCCTGGGATATGTGGGACTCTGTCTCTCTGACAGATTCTTCTATGACACAGAAATCAGTTGTGCAGTGTATTTGCTGTTAAGCATCTCAGTCCCTCCCGATAAAGTTGTTCTGGTCTGCACAAAGGAACTGACTGAACAAGGAATACAACCCAGATGTCTCCTGTCCTAAATAATTGTCCCAAATTTGTATACAGTGTATGTTGTGTAT